TGTATCCTGCGGTGCCATAAAGTAATCATACTGTCAATATTCCGCGAGCAGCTATTATACGAACTACATTCTTCACACTTTGGCGTGGTAAAAACAAAAGAGCAGGCCAGAACCTGGATGTGGTGGCCACATATAGATAGATAAATCTGAAATATATACTTGTTTGGCAGTTAACACCTTTGCTAGCGTCTGTAACTATGTAACGAATTAGAATAGGCGTGTTTAAATTCAAGAATCATTAAATTTATTATCAGATAAAACTTAAGTTCAGTAAAAATTAAGTTCGTTTTCAAAAAAAAGTCGGATTTTTTAATTTGTCAAGTAACCTTTGTCCAGTTAGCTCTTCAATTTGGCAATGTATTCTACAGTATTAAAATAAATTACCTTACAAATTATAATATTGGTACATTAGGGTGTTAGGGTGTGGGGTGCGAAGTCAGAAGTCCTCCACGTGTGCCTGGTAGTTGCGGGTCCCTCTCGATACGTCTGGATGGAAGAGCAGCTACTGGGCCGGAGCACCCTGGGCGCGGCGGTAATCTTCCTCGAGAAATGAGAAGAAATTCTTATTCCTTGGGGAATGTTGCTGCCGCGGATAATTATTCTGGCATGGGGGGGGGTCCGTCCCGGACCAACAGTGCGTTCCTCTGCGTGACCCTCTGACTAGCAGAGGGCATAGCAGAGGTGTGAGGGCGGGCTCGGTGTGCACTTATCCTGCCTCCGGGCAGACAGTGAAGGATTCATCCTTTGCTGTCACCGCCGGTCTCGTAATCCCAGTATTGAAGTGTCGTGGATCATGTCTCGCGGCTTTGATAGGGACCGAGGGTCTTGGCTTAATCGCCCGGACCGCGAGGGAGAAAACCTCTATAAAAAGTTACTCCGAATCCCAAGCGGCGACGCACCGCGAGGGGATGGATGGCTGACGGGGTTCTCTGAACAAATCAGCCGCTAGTGTGCTCCTCGCCAGGGTACCTGCAGACCACCTGGCGAGTAATAAATCCTCTAAATCTGCTTACCTTGGTACAGGGGTCTCTGCCAAGGTGGACCTTTAATTCCCCCAAACTCGTGAGTACAGAAATGGAAACACCAAAAGCAAAAAACAAAACTAAAACCGCCGGCAACGGCAACGTAGAGGAGAGGAGGAGCGATGCGGGGACAGAGTCCGACGCCGCATCGAGCAGCGTGGGAGGTCCAGAGAGCTCCCGACGTGTGGGGCCTGGGACCGCGGAGAACAGTAAGTTCTTCCGCAAGCGGTCCAGGCGGGATGGCGACCAGGGGCCGTCATCCGGTGAAGAGGAGGTCTCGGCCCGGAAAATCCCCACCAACAGGCGGGGCGGGCTGAGAGGCAAGGGGAATGCCAATCAGAGGGGCGAACGAGCGGCAAAGCTTGCCGAGGAGGGGCGCCACTCGGGCGATACGGCTTGGGTATCAGGCGACGAGACGAGTGCGACTGGCGGCTCCGAGGTAAGGCCAGATTCGTAAAGGAGGTGGAGGCCGCGATCAAGGTCGTGGCCTACAAGCAAAAGCCCTCCTCGAAGTTTAAGGCCATTCCCGGGGCCTCCGCCTCCATCATGGCGGCTGCGGAGGCCAACTTTGTTGGGGACGGGCCTAATGCGGACGAGGTGGCGAAGCTGCGGGCGGACGTGGCCCGCCTGACGTCCGCCATGGAGACTCTCCAGAAGGAGAACGAGAAGCTCCGCGCAGACCTGGCCAGTCTACGTGAGCCTGCCTCTCGCGCGGCGCCCCAGACGCAGCGCCCAAGCCAGCCCGTGCCGGTGGAGAACCAGGTTCTGAACCTGGTCCGGCAGGAGCTGGCTGCCTTCCAGCACCGGTTCTCCGTGCTGGAGGGCATTGTCCTGCGCCCCCCCCCCTAGGGGCAAATAAGACGGCAGCGAGGCCGGCAACGGTCTCGTACGTGGCGGCCACGGCTGCCGCATCCAGGCCGTATCCACGTATCAGTGAGATGCGCCTCGGAGGTTGACCGCAGTCGCCTGTGCTTCCGCTGCTGTCAGCCCGGACACATATCGGCAACCTGCTGCGCCACGCCGCACTGTGATGCATGTGCGGCGACCGGCAAGCCAGCCGATCACCGGGCCGGAAGCAAGGCCTGCGTGCCACCCGCCAAGGCCAAGGCCGCGGGGAGGGGAGGGCGCTCCGCCGCCACCGCCTCTGTGGCCTCCACCGCAGACGCAACTGCCGCCGCCACCGCTGTCACTGTCGCCGCCGCCGCCGCTGCGACACCGACGCCCGCAGAGGTGCCCCCCGTGGAGGAAGCTGAAATGGAATGCCTATAACGGCCCCATTAAGCTTCCTCCAGGCGAATATCAACCACTGCGCCTGCGCTCAGGATCTGTTGCTACAGAGCATGGCGCAGTGGTCGATTAACATCGCTGTGGTCGCTGAGCCATATTTTGTCTGGCCTAGGGAGGACTGGGTGGTGGACCTTAACGGCTCAGTGGCCATCATCTCTTCGGCCGCCGCCGGTACCCCGACCCTTGAAGGTGTCAGGAGGGGTCAGGGGTGCGTAGCAGCACGGTTCGGGGAGTTCGTCGTTGTGGGGGTGTACTTCTCCCCGAACCGATCCCTCGCCGAGCTCCACAACTCTCTTGCAGAGCTGAGAGCAGTCGTCGTCGGAAGTTATCCCCTCCCCGTACTTGTCCTCGGGGACTTCAATGCCAAGAACTTGGCTTGGGGTTCTCGTCGCACAGATGTACGGGGTAGGATGGTGGAAGACTGGGCTCTGGAGACAGGCCTGGTCGTCCTAAATCGGGGTTCTGTCCCCAAGTGTATGCGGATGCGGGGCGAGTCGGTGGTGGACATCTCGTTCGCTAGCCCCGCTCTGTCGCCACGTGCCATTGACTGGCGTGTCATGGAGGGGGTGGAGACCTACTCCGACCGCCGGTACATCCGGTTTGACGTCTCCAACCAGCCCTCGAGCGCGCCAGTCCAACAGGCCCCGAGTGGTCCGCGTTGGGCACAGAAGCAGCTGGACCGGGAGCTCCTCCTGGAAGCCTCGATCGTGCAGGCCTGGGTGTCATCCCCGGACAGGCCTGCTGACGTCAATGATGAGGCAGGGTGGTTCCAGGAGGCCATGTCCGAGATATGTGACGTGGCAATGCCCCGCGTCCGGCCAGGAAGCGCCCGGCGTCAGGTGTATTGGTGGTCGCGTGAGCTGACGTCTCTGCGCGAGGCGTGTGTCGCCGCGCGGCACCTGTACGCCAGGCATCGCAGGCTCCGCATTCGTCCACCGAACACGGCAGCCATTGAGGCGGAGCTGTACGAGGGATACAGAGCGGCGAAGACCGCCCTCCGGTAGGCTGTCCTGCGGGCCCGGGATTGGGCCCGTGAGGAGATGCTGGAGACTCTCGACAGAGATCCGTGGGGGCGCCCTTACAAGATGGTGCGGGATAAACTCTGCACCTGGGCCCCCCCCCCGCTGACGCAGAGTCTCAGGCCTCAGCTCGTGGAGGACGTGGTGAGCGCTCTGTTCCCCTGCGCGAGGGGGAACATCCGCCCCCGCCTATGGCTCCGCCACCTGCGGTGCGGGGAAGCGGACCACTAGGACGACGACGACGACATCCCGGAAGGGACCGAGGTAGACCTGAGAGGGGAGGTACGTAGGCTCAAGGCCAGGAATACCGCCCCAGGACCCGATGGCTTGCCTGGCAAAGCCTGGATCCTGGCCTCGGAAGGCTCTCGGGCCCCGACTGGAGGGGCTCCTAAGCGCATGCTTGGAGAGAGGCCAATTCCCGCTTCGTTGGAAGACGGGGGAATCTGGTCCTCATTCGGAAGCCGGGGTGCCCTGCGGACTCTCCGTCCGCATACCGGCCCGTGGTGCTGCTCGACGAGGTGGGCAAGCTCTTTGAAAGAGTCATTGCAAACCGCCTCGCCGAGCACCTTGAGGGGACGGGGCCGGATCTTACGGAACACCAGTTTGGTTTCCGCAAGAGGCGCTCTACGGTGGACGCCATCATGCGCGTGAGAGCCCTCACGACGGGGGATGCAGTGGCCAGAGGGGGGGTTGTCTTGGCGGTGTCTCTCGACATCGCCAACGCCTTCAACTCCATGCCCTGGAGCTGCATTAGGGAGGCACTCCGGTATCACCGGGTGCCGACCTATCTCCGTCGAATAGTCGGGGACTATTTGACTGACAGGGCCGTCATCTACCCCGGTCGCAACGGTGAGTGGAACCGGCGAGAGATGTCGTGCGGTGTCCCACAGGGTTCGGTTCTGGGGCCACCTCTGTGGAACATCGGTTACGACTGGGTGCTGTGCGCCGACTTCCCTACCGGCGTCAGCGTAGTTTGCTACGCTGACGACACGCTGGTACTGGCACAAGGGGGGATCGTACGAGGCGGCGGCGGAAACTATGACACGCGGGGTTGCGATAGTCGTTGAGAGGGTCTCGAGGTGGCTCTGCATAAGTCCGAGGCCATGCACTTCTATGGTCCTCGGAACAGGCCACCACCGGGATCCTCAGTGATGGTAGGAGGGGTATCCATCGGCGTCGAGTCGACGCTGAAGTATCTAGGACTCGTCCTCGACGGCCGATGGAACTTCGTTGAGCACTTCCGACGTTTGGCTCCCAAACTGGAACGGACCGGGGCTGCCTTCAGGCGGCTCCTGCCAAACCTGGGGGGGCCAAACGCCTCCTGCCGGAGGCTCTACGCGGGGATCGTGCTATCCATGGCCCTTTACGGGGCCCCGGTGTGGGCGCGTGGTTTGGCGCGGCTTGCCGTCCACCACCTGAACGCGCCCCAAATGGTGGTTGCCGTGAAAATGGTTCGCGGCTACCGCACGATATCCGAGGACGGCGCTGGCAGTCTGCCGTATCATAGGCGCCAAGTTTTTCCACGGCTGGACGTGCTACTGGCCATAGTAGCGCTATCCCAGCATGGAGAAGAAGAATTGAGGAACGTATCGCAAAGGCTAGAGCTCTCATCGGCAGACTGATATGCTTCAGATCAGGCAACAACAGGCCAAGAATTGTGCGCACCGTCAGGATGGCGTTTGCTGGGACAAATGTCAGTTTGTCCCAGCCGGATATAACGCAAAAACTGACGGAGCGCATAGATGATCTGAAGCAGAGAATCGCTGCTTGGGGAAAGCGGATTCGGCGATATACCGAGAGGTCGACACGGTTCAACCAGAATCGTCTCTTCCAGAGTGATCAGAAGAGGCTCTATGAACCATTGGAGCGACCAATGGTAAGTGGAACGGGTCCAGCACCGAATCAGGCCGTCACTGTAGCATTCTGGCGCGGCCTGTGGTCAGAGCCCGTAAACCACAACGAGGGCCCTTGGACGGAAGTTGTGGCGAGTCAGTGTGCGGGTATTACGCCCATGGACCCCGTCATCATAACGCTGGATGACGTAGCTGAGGCGGTCCGTAGGGCCCCGAACTGGAAAAGTTCGGGGCTTGACGGGCTGCATCACTACTAGCTGAAGGGGTTCATGGTGTGTCACTCCGTGCTCGCCCGACAGTTTCAAGAGGCTCTCAACCAGAAGTCGCTCCCAAGCCTCTTCACTACTGGGATCAATCATTTGGTTCCAAAAGACCAGGGTACCACAGACCCGAGCAAATACCGCCCCATCACGTGTCTACCGACCATATACAAGACACTAACATCCATTTTGAGCGCGAGAATTACTTGTCACCTGGACTCAAATCAGGTGATGTCGCGCGCTCAAAATGGATGTCGGGGCGGCAGTCGTGGAACCAAGGAACCACTCCTCATTGACGCGGTCATTGGCAAGGTGGTGAAACGCAAACGTCGGAACTTCTCCTCCGCCTGGATAGACTACAGAAAGGCATTCGACTCGGTGCCCCATACATGGCTAAAGAGAGTCCTCGAGCTGTACAAGATAGACTGTACAGTTAGAGACCTCGAGCAGTGTATGGGGCAGTGTAGTACGATCCTTTGTCATCTGGGCGAGCGGATGATGGCTGCGGAGAACCACATAAGGATAAGAAGGGGTATCTTCCAGGGCGATTGTCTGAGTCCAATCTGGTTCTGCCTCTCTCTGAACCCTCTAAGTACCTTACTGGAGGGGCTCCGGGAGGGGATTTTAGCTACGGAAAAGTGACCCAACTTTTCTATATGGATGACCTCAAGTTATTCGCCTCCAGTCGCTCCCATCTTATGGAATTGCTAAACATCACTTATGAATTTAGCAATTCCATTGGAATGGAGCTTGGGACGGATAAGTGTGCGGTCCTCCATGTTGAAAGGGGAAGGGTTGCTAACTCTGAGGGCGTAGACTTATCTATGCCCATCAACTTAAGGACCCTTTCCGAGGCTGAAAAATACCGATACCTGGGTATGTCACAAAACATCGGTATCGATGAGACTGGTATGAAACAGTCAGTTTGCGACATGTTTTATGCACGCTTGACCAAAGTGTTTAATAGCCTTTTGTCCGGTGTGAATAAGGCACACGCATATAACGGCTGGGTCATGCCTGTCCTCATGTATACCTTTGGCATACTCAGGTGGACTCAGACTGAACTTAACGCCCTGGATAGAAAAGTCCGCACTACCATGACGTCCCATAGGATGCATCATCCGAGATCGTCGGTAATGAGGCTGTACTTGTCGCGGAAGCATGGTGGTCGTGGCTTCTTGAGCGCGCTCACCATGCATAATCGCGAAATGTGCAGCCTCCGTGATTACTTCCTGGCGAGATCGGATGATCCATTCTATAAGGACGTCATTTCTTGTGATAAAGGACTTACCCCTCTGTCCTTAGCCAACGAGCAATGGCAAGACCCGGCAGTGCAGAGCATTTCCGACCGGGAGACCGTATGGAAGGAGAAGGAGCTCTACGGGGGGGTTCTACAAGGCTCTATATGAGCTTTTCGTAGACACAGTAGCCTCCCTCCACTGGCTACGCTTTGGTGATCTCTTCGGGGAAACCGAGGGTTTTGTCTGTGCAATACAGGATCAGGTTATTAAGACCAACAACTATCGGAGATACATCCTAAAGGATGGCACCGTCGACATCTGTCGAGCTTGTCGCCATCCCGGTGAGTCACTTAGGCATGTTATCTGAGTACTTGCACAGGCACAACCTAGTAGCCAGAATTCTACACCAGGAGCTCGCTCTGAAATACGGTCTCGTGGATCGGAAATTGCCGTATTACAAGTACTTGCCGGAAGCCGTGTTCGAAAATGATCGCGCCAGGCTCTATTGGGACCGGGCCATCATCACAGACAGGACTATTCTTGCGAATAAGCCTGATATTGTGCTGGTGGACCGGGCACAGTCAAGGATATTTTTGGTCGACATTACCATTCCGTATGACGAGAACCTCGTGAAAGCCGAAACAGACAAGCAAACAAAATATCTGGACCTGGCTCACGAGGTGACCGACATGTGGGGTGGTCTGCCGACCGAAATTATTCCTGTAGTCGTCTCTGCAAACGGGCTAATCCCAGTCAGCCTCTCGGGTCATCTGAGGCGGCTGGGACTACGTGGCGGACCGCTCCAGGTTCAAATGCAGAAGGCGGTGCTCCTCGATACCGCCCGCATCGTCCGCCGGTTTCTTTCCCTTTCCCCCTAACCCTCGGCCGTTTGGTCTCCCCCTGCCGAGGGGCCTCCATCTGGTTGGGCTTTTATTTATTTATGTACTTTTATATTTATTTTATGTTATTGATATTTATGTATATTTATCTTTTCATTTTCATTTATAATTATATATTTATAGAACCCAACCAGATGAGAAAACTATATAAATACCCCATAATAATAATAATAATAATATTCCACAACTATCACACAACGCCATCTAGTCCCAAGCTAAGCAGAGCTTGTGTTATGGGTACTAGACAACTGATAAACATACTTATATATTTCTAAATACATAAATATTATAGATAAATTACACCCTAACACCCTTTTTTTTTTGCGGATGGAAAATCATCTAATGACGCCTTTCGCTCTGGGTGGAGCGTAAGGGAGTGTCAGACTTTTTACTGACTAAAAACCATCCGTGTTCCTTCAGTGCCCTTACATTCCGGAGCCGCGGTATCTCTTTCGAACAGCCCGCAGCCCCGGCAGGCGTCGGCCCTTGCGGGCCCTTTACGCTGCTGACAGCTCTTTGAGGCGCGCGTGGAACAAAACGCGCCGTCGACACGGCCTGTCGTCGTTAGACGGATGGACGGCGAGCTACCCATTGCTCGCCGTCCACAGTGGCCGGGGGCCACGACGTAGCCCCCGACGCCCGGGGCGTCTCCCGCGGCGGCCGGGGAGGAAAGCTTCTGCTCTCTCTTTCTCCCGCTCCGCCACCTCCTTCGCTAGCATCACTGCTTCGCAGAAGGTGGTGACGGCATCCCATTCCGTCTCGCTCCGGACCATGGTTTCGACCAGGGCTGGACGCGAGAGGTCGCCGCCGCCTATCACCGCTACGAGGACACGGCGGTGCTCCGCCCAAGCAGGGCACACCTCCACGGTGTGTTCCACCGTGTCCTCCGGTCCATCCTCGCAGTGGGAGCACCCGGGCGTTTCCTCCCGCCCGATTCGGTGCAGGAACCTCCCGAACACACCGTGTCCGGTGAGGACCTGCGTCAGGCGGAAGGTGTGGATCATGGTAGTTGGGGCGGCTTGCCGTCCACCACCTGAACGCGCCCCAAATGGTGGTTGCCGTGAAAATGGTTCGCGGCTACCGCACGATATCCCGCGATGCGGCGAGCCTCCTTGCCGGATTGCCGCCATGGGTTCTGGAGGCGATAATCCTCGCAGGCCTGCACGAATGGCGCGCGGAGGCACTATGCTGGGGGGGAAACCCCGCTGCCGCGGCAAGTTGTCGCGCAGCGGACAGACTTCCGGCACGATCTCATGGCGACATGGAGACAGCGACAGTCGCAACCCCGTGCTGGGCACGCCACTATAGCGGCGATAAGACCCCTCTTTGAGGAGTGGCTTGAGAGACGCCACGGCATCCTCACCTTCCGCCTGACGCAGGTCCTCACCGGACACGGTGTGTTCGGGAGGTTCCTGCACCGAATCGGGCGGGAGGAAACGCCCGGGTGCTCCCACTGCGAGGATGGACCGGAGGACACGGTGGAACACACCGTGGAGGTGTGCCTGCTTGGGCGGAGCACCGCCGTGTCCTCGTAGCGGTGATAGGCGGCGGCGACCTCTCGCGTCCGGCCCTGGTCGAAACCATGGTCCGGAGCGAGACGGAATGGGATGCCGTCACCACCTTCTGCGAAGCAGTGATGCTAGCGAAGGAGGTGGCGGAGCGGGAGAAAGAGAGAGCAGAAGCTTTCCTCCCCGGCCGCCGCGGGAGACGCCCCGGGCGTCGGGGGCTACGTCGTGGCCCCCGGCCACTGTGGACGGCGAGCAATGGGTAGCTCGCCGTCCGTCCGTCTAACGACGACAGGCCGTGTCGACGGCGCGTTTTGTTCCACGCGCGCCTCAAAGAGCTGTCAGCAGCGTAAAGGGGCCCGCAAGGGCCGACGCCTGCCGGGGCTGCGGGCTGTTCGAAAGAGATACCGCGGCTCCGGAACGTAAGGGCACTGAAGGAACACGGATGGTTTTTAGTCAGTAAAAGTCTGACACTCCCTTACGCTCCACCCAGAGCGAAAGGCGTCATTAGATGATTTTCCATCCGCAAAAAAAAGGGTGTTAGGGTGTAATTTATCTATAATATTTATGTATTTAGAAATATATAAGTATGTTTATCAGTTGTCTAGTACCCATAACACAAGCTCTGCTTAGCTTGGGACTAGATGGCGTTGTGTGATAGTTGTGGAATATTATTATTATTATTATTATGGGGTATTTCTATAGTTTTCTCATCTGGTTGGGTTCTATAAATATATAATTATAAATGAAAATGAAAAGATAAATATACATAAATATCAATAACATAAAATAAATATAAAAGTACATAAATAAATAAAAGCCCAACCAGATGGAGGGCCTCGGCAGGGGAGACCAAACGGCTGAGGGTTAGGGGGAAAGGGAAAGAAACCGGCGGACGATGCGGGCGGTATCGAGGAGCACCGCCTTCTGCATTTGAACCTGGAGCGGTCCGCCACGTAGTCCCAGCCGCCTCAGATGACCCGAGAGGCTGACTGGGATTAGCCCGTTTGCAGAGACGACTACAGGAATAATTTCGGTCGGCAGACCACCCCACATGTCGGTCACCTCGTGAGCCAGGTCCAGATATTTTGTTTGCTTGTCTGTTTCGGCTTTCACGAGGTTCTCGTCATACGGAATGGTAATGTCGACCAAAAAATATCCTTGACTGTGCCCGGTCCACCAGCACAATATCAGGCTTATTCGCAAGAATAGTCCTGTCTGTGATGATGGCCCGGTCCCAATAGAGCCTGGCGCGATCATTTTCGAACACGGCTTCCGGCAAGTACTTGTAATACGGCAATTTCCGATCCACGAGACCGTATTTCAGAGCGAGCTCCTGGTGTAGAATTCTG